TATTAAAAACAAGTGCATACGTCCGTCAGAATGTCAGATATTCTTTTTTTAAAAGCAGCTAAGGAAATTAGCGCAACAATCTTAAGCCTAGACTGTAGCTCATTCCAGGACAAAGGGCCATAGTAAGACAGACTCCTCTTTCCTGCTTCTGTCCTCATTCTTGGTACCTTACAAAGTAGTCCATCACTAGATCTTAAATGATATATACTTTGCATATGAAAACATTTTAAACAGATATAAGAAGGCAAAATACCTAAAATAGCTTTATAAATAAAAATGTACCAATGTAGCATCCTGCGCAATTTGAGTGATGGCCAGTTTACCCTACTGTATAAGATGCAGTGATGTGTCTGATAGCCAGCATTTGGACAAAGGACTCAGAACTGATCGTTGTGGGACACCCTTTTTTAGGACAACAGGGTCAGATATTACATCCCCATGCCTTTCAATTTGCGTACGTTCAGAGAGATAGCTGTGAAACCAATTTACAGCTCTATGCCCCACACCAATATTCAACAAGGTTTTTATTAACATGAAATGGTCTACTGTATCAAATGACTTTGTAAGGTCAATGAACACAGCCATACAGAATAACTTTTTATCAATCGCTGCTTTAAAGAGGCAGAAACTGTACTGTGGCCAGATCTAAAACCAGATTGCATGTCGTTAAGGATATTTTGTGAAACCAGAAAAGTTTTTAATTGATTAGAAACTAAAATCTCCAAAATCTTTGCTAAAACCGAAAGATTTGAGATAGGTCTATAAATATTTGTGTCAAATGGATCCCCAGCTTTCAGTAATGGCGTGATGTAAGCCTGTTTCCATGGAATAGGCACTGTATCTGTGTAAATGGAAAGGTTAAAGATGTAAATGAGTGGCTTCACTACAGTTTCTGCTGCCATTTTTAACTAAACAGGATCAAGTCCATCTCGCCCTGCTGCCTACTTGGAGTCAATGCTCTGCAAAACATCTGACTCAAAGAATGGTGCGAGCTCAAAGGTCAAAGCAGAAACAGAAGAAGAAACCACTTCCCCTTGTGTGACTGGGATCTAGATTCAGCCAGGAATAAATTATTCCAAGTTTCCTGTGAGTTGGGTTTGCCATGGGGAATTTCACCTTTTGCTACCTGGGAACTATGTTGAACAAGAGAAGTTTCACCAAATGTATCCCCAAAGATATGTCCTGCCTTTTCAAAATAATCATTAGCATTTAGCATGTCCCTCTTCTCTGTTATAACAGCATTTCCTATTTTTAACTGGTGAGGGAAGCTGTTAACTTTCTTATTCTGTAGTGCTCTTATAGTTTTCCAAAATTTCGAATGGTCATGCAAACTAATTGACGTTTGTGCCAAATAGTATTCAGCTTTAGATTTTCTAATGAGAGCTGTACACTGATTTCTAAGAGTTCTAAAAAGACGCCAATTGTTTTCTAGCTATAGACCATTGATTATTTCTGGCATGGATTAGGTCAGCTATGTTCTGAACTTCCTAATGGAGGCATGTTTATTTGCAAGCTTTAAGAAGCTACAGCATCCTCAATGGTAGGGATCAATTCTCCGAGAAATGCCTGAAACAACGTCAGTCCGACCTTCGGATTTGGGTAGTTTTGTACTCCTAACACAATGATCACTCATGTCATTTGGAAAAACACCAACAGCAACATGTGCTGCATTTGTTAAAATAACATCAATGAGTGTATCTTTACCTGTCTGTGAAGGATTAATCCGGGTTGCATAATTTATAAGCTAGATTTAAAGAATCACAAACCCACTTTACGTTCTCAGACTTCTTGGTCATCCAATCCCAGTTCAAGTCACCCAACAAGATCAATTCAGATGAATGAAAATTTGATAACACCTCTGTCAGACTAGTGATGCTATAATTAATGGCAGATGGGGGCCTATAACAACCGATGACAATAAATTTTTATTTTCACAGGTAGAAGTTCAAATTGCTTGGGAATTGATTTAGAAAGCCAAACAGTGCACTGACGTTTATCAGAAATATAAACTGCAACACCTCCAGCCCTATCTTTACGGTCAGATATAAAAATTCTATAACAGTCAATAAATAAAACATTATCAGTGACAGAAGTTTTTAACCAAGTTTCAGACACTACCACAACATCAGGTTTAGAAATCATGAACCAAATTTTAAATATTGTCGAATTTGTGTACAAGACTTCTAGCATTTATGTGATGAAAGCAAAGCCCATGTCTGTGAGCTTATTCTAAGGGGGTTGGAAAGCTAATGTAGACTTTCAGGAAACAATTCTGGACCTGGATTGGTGCTAACATTTCCAGAGACCAGAAGGGGTAAATGGATTAACATTTTAGAGAAAGATTTCGAAGCACTTGATACCTTGCTGTAATGTACAGCGGGCCAGTGAGGGTCCCTACAGGCAAACGCCTCAAGAACTAATAATTCAAAAGCAACAGTACATTTTATACGATCTAAAATGAGCACTTTGTACAGAGAATCAGTGGTCAGATCAGCATTTAAATGTCCATTAGACACAGTAAAGAAATCCTTATGGCTATGAACACATGCATCTTCAATTTGTGGCCCACTAAGGAAAATATAAAAAATGCCAGTCCAGCGATCCCTCGGCCCGGCTTAGCTCAGCAACGGGAGAAGGTAGCGTTAGCGCCACTCTATATCTGCAAGTAGCTTATACCTGCCGATAATATCCACAAAATGATAAATCGGTCGGGCTCTAAATTATCGTGGCTTGCTCTGATACTGCAGATCTTTTGTACCTTGCCGGTGTGCCTCTCTCTCTCTCTCACCTCTCTCTTCATCTACTAACCTGCGCACACACACACCTACAGTTAGTGGTTGTGTCCTCTATTTTGTAGTGTTGTGTCGTTCAATGAACGTTTCGTTCATAAGACCTGATCGTGTGTATGACTCGGGAGGAACGGGTGTCTCAGTGATCGATTCGTTCATTTTCACTCATTCGTGAAGGATCTTGGACTCTTACGTTCATTCGTCACACGGCAGCTGCATGGGCTCCGTCAGCATTGATTAGTTCATGACTCTCAAATGTGGGTCTGTTTGAGTCGTTCATTTGTCACGTGACAGCTCGGCTACAGAGCTGTGGTAAGCAGGCAGCACAGGAAACAGAACTGATTAGTTCATGACTCTCAACTGTGGGTCTCTAAGTCTGAGTCGTTCATTTGTCACGTGACAGCTACTGTGGAGCAGGAATGAACTACTAGTTCATCGCTCACATGGGTCCTCCCCAGTCTTTCGTTCATTCTGCAGGCTCAGTGACTGCCAGCGCCGGAGAATGAGAGGCAGGTCGGCTGTCAGGTAACAGTCACTGAACTGACATTATATAGCTATTTTGTTAACTATGTGACATTTTATAAAGCATACTGTTATTGCAGCGCAGTGATGTTGTGCTAAGTTATAGTTTTAGCACAGCCGTACCGTAACTTCAGTCCTGCTAGTGTTTAACATTACAGCCAACAGCTGATGAGAGTTGTTCTGGGTCCTCTCCACTTCAGAGCCCTGACAGGGTTCTACCAGGAGCTGAATTACCTCAGAGGTCGTCTCCTCTCCAAAACAAACAGACCCGGTCATTAAAACATTAAAACACAACCACGTAGCAACGTTAGCCCTGTGGTTTGTGTACAGCTAACAGCTGATCCAGGTCCGCCGAGAGCGCAACGTAACTTTTCCTTTTTATTTACCAACAGAGCCATGCTGTTGTTTCACAGCTCGTGACTGGTGAACAACCTGGCAGTGTTTGAGAGCGATGTGCTCATGTGTGTTTCTCTGTCTGCAGAATCCAGACCTGATGTGGCACATTCTGTGTCCAGAACTGCCAAACTGCTGCGTTTATATGTGTTTATTTCTTTGTTCCTCTCTCTTTACCCCCACACCCCACCACACACACCTGCATCACATGCTTGCTGACTATTGTATGCTTTGATTGTGTTTAGAGTAGATAATAGTAGTTTTATTGGCAAGAGTCAATAATTATTTATCTGTGCTAAAGTAAATTAACTTTTTTGTACATTTAAAGAGCAGTTGCCTGTGGTTATTTGTGTATGTGTTGTAAAACATCTAAACAGCTGGTTGTGATGGTCAGCGCTCACCCTTAACTGTCTACCCAATTAATGTAAAATAGTAGTTAAACATTGCCATTTCTAAGTGGACAAACCAACTTTGTGAGGCTGTTTTCACTTTTGATTATTTGCTGCTGATCCTGATGCTGGTCCTGTAATTATTAATCTTCATTAATAATTTAACTAATATTAATAACCTTACTGATATTAATACTAGAGGTGTGACGAGACACAATATTGGGTTTACGTAATTGAGATGAGACAACATTTTAACACCATTTTTAAGAAATATTCAATGTTGAATCATATGAAAATATTCAGCCATAAACAGTTAATTTCCTGAATTCTTGTGAATTTTTCTGCACCAATTTATGGCGGGAATGTTTTTATTTATGTAACGGGAAACACAAAATTCAGGTGGCAGGTGACAATCCAAATCTAAACAGAATCTAAAGCAGTAAGGCTTTTGGACATTCTGTATTGCTTTCAAATATGTTTGTCCTTTCAACTTTTTCATTTAATATCATCCGTGGTGAAAAGTAACAAAGTACAAATATTTTGTTACTGTACTTTTTACTACTGTTTTTTTCGGTATCTGCACTGTATCACGACACCTCGTTACATTGGTATTAGTAGCTTATGCAGCGCACCTGAGTGGAGCAGCACTGAAAAACAAATGTAAAACTGATAAAGCTGAATGATAACGCGTGATTCAACTTCAGTCAGTTGATGCGACACTGGCATACGCAGTGACAGTCCAGCACAGAACTGGATGGCCCTGCCTCACTTTCAGTGGATTCACATTGACTTGTCCAGACTGTCCAGAATTCTTTAGCCTGTCCCACAAACCCAGGTGAAACACAGGCAGCCACAGCCAGAGATGTACAGCCAGCATCAAATACAAGCAGCTCAGACCCTAATGGAGTTGCTGCTCTACCACATGACCCAGCAGATTGGCCCCCAGTCTTATCAGACTTCATGAGGTCTGAGTTAGTGCACAGAGGTCCATTCAAACCAGAACTGTTTTTTTTCTATAAGATGTTTCTATTCAGATTTCTTACAGAGGGTTAGGGTTAATTTTAGCCCTAATTGTAACTATACCAATTAGTTACCACTCTGTCACAAACTGTGTGGACTTGAGTACTATCATGGCGTATGCTCTGCTGTCAGCAGAGTTGATTCTGAAACATATCTGGTGTAGACAGCGTGTTGGATGTTGACTGATCTCTGTTAGATAAGACTGGTAAAGGGTTTCTTTTCAATGTGACACCACAACAAAATGTTGTATCCCCCTTTCAAAAAACAAATTTACCAAATTAAACAAAAGATTCTTAGCAATGTTGCGTTAGCACAGTTCTAAACAGTAACAGTACCTGAAGGTGTCTCCAATGCGGTCATGGAAGTAAAGAAAGTCCCCGTGATCACGGAGCAAGAGGTCTCCAGTGTTGAAATAGACGTCCCCGGCTTTGAAAACATCTCTGAGCAGCTTCTTTTCAGACTGGACCTTATTCCCAGCATAACCCAGGAACTGGTTCATAGCTGACAGAGGAGCTACCAGGATCCCTGCCTCTCCTGTGCGCAGAAACAGGATGTTAGTGGACACATAAGCCCTTCTTCTGTACATACAGCTGTATAAAATGGACTGAATGACTTTCACATTAAAGGCATGTGATTCAAATACCTATTTTGCTTGCATGCATCTTCCAGAGTTTGTTCGGACTGGCTCATAAGTTTGTGGATCATATCGCAGGAGCTCAAAGGGCATAGAAAGCTGAGAAAGAAGGAATGACACTAGTTGTGACATGATGAGCCACTGTTTTTCTCTGACTAATAGGTTATAATACCAGGGATGGTTTTCAGTAACTAAAAACAGTAGATCATTGTTATATACACCATACAGTCAGTATGTCACATGTATTTATTTACAACATTTCATCTTACTCCATCCATTATGCATTAAACAGTGTACACTACACATGTCCCTTTGATATCACTGATGCTGGAACAGGTCACACATGCATTGAGACGCTGCCCTTCTTTTATATCAAAGGACATAAGGGGGAACTTACGCAGAAGCTTTTTAACAAAAATTTCGCTGATGCTTAAAAGTACGTACTACGTGGTCTTGGGTTGGTGCCAACGTGTGAGTGCAGTATTCGAGAAATTGCAGCAGGTACTCTACAGATTTGGCTGAGGAACCCTTTTCTCATTGCTTCGCTTAAACGGGTAGTTAGAGTGGAGGACAGTGTGAGCAAAGTAGTTAAGGAATCTGGACATCTGGAAGGGGGAAAAACACTAAAAACAATGGGGAATGTATCTAGTCTACTAAACTATGTCAAAAAGAGATACATCGTGTATAAGATGAGAGCACTGTTGTGTGAAGCTGTTAACAATGCAATATGTGACACAGATAGGATACTATGTTGTTCTAGATTTGACAAACAGACAGAATGTATTAGACGAATGACCTTGGGATGGCGTACCATGGTGCAAATGACAGCGGATAAATATGCAGATGTGAAATCTATTCTCCTCAATATAGCAAATGTTTTTCCTGTGAACAATAATGATTTTCATACGGGTCATGTGTTTTTGTACTTTTAGCATTGATTTGTGTGTTTTAATGCTAACCAGAAAACAACATTGCTGATGCTTAACTGAATCTTTGGTTTGTAAAAACATAGGGGCTTGTACTTATTTTCTGAAAAGTGTATACTTGTAATAATTATATTATATGTTGCATTTGTTGTTGGAAATAAAATACTTGAACACAGATGTTGAAGTGTCAGTCTTTGTCACAAAGATCGTGGAGGAGGTGATGAGAAATATATACTAAGCGACAAAAACGCAGGGGGTTACGGAGGCAAGCAAAAACTTAAAATATTTGTCACTATAATGTCATATTTGACACTACTGGAGTTCGGTGCGCAGATTCAGACGTAGAAAACTGGCTCATGAAGCAAGAGGCCTATACTCTACACAAGACGGCTCCAGTGCATTTTAAGAGAAACAAGGTTTTAGTGAATTCAATAGATTGGCAATTCCAGCTAGATTTAGTTGATATGTCCGCTTATTTTGCTGAAAATGGTGTACGCTATTATTAACATGTATAGATTTGTTTAAAAAACACGCATGGGTGCGTTGTTTAAAAAAAAAAAAGAGTGGTAAATGCGTCACAGCATCCTTTAAAGATATCTTAGCTAAGGTAGAATACCGCATAAAATTCAAACAGACGAGGGAAAAGAGTACAAAGATTTCGATGCATTAACGAAAATTAATAGTATCCGTACACTTTACCACATCAAATGAGACTGAGGCATCTGTAGTAGAGTGTTTTAATAGGACTCTGAAATCTAAAATGTGGCGTTATTTAACAGCCAATAATTCTAAACGATACATAGATATATTGCAGGATTTAGTCACCTCATACAATCAGTTATTGTAGTATTAAAATGAAACCGATTGATGTAACAAAAGACAATGAAGATATCGTATTTAGCAACTTGTATAAAACAAAAGATAAAAGAGTAATTCGTTTTAAATATAAAGTTGGCGATACTGTAAGAATTTCAAAATTACGTGGCCCTTTTAAAAAAGGTTATGAGCAAAATTATACTGATGAATATTCCACTGTAAAGGAATGCGTGTCAAGGGCCCCTCCTGTTTACAGGTTAAAAGACTATGATGGCGAAATATTACAGGGAGCATTTTATAAGCAAGAGATGCAAAAAGTTATTATCGATAAAAACAAAACATTTAAAATAGAAAAGATTTTATCTAGAAAGAAAAGATAAGGCTGGGACATGGTGTCAAATGGGTCGGATGGCCAGATAAATTTAACTCGTGGATTTTGGAAAAACAGGTCATTCAGCTACCTTAGCAGATTACAAACACTCGTATAAATGGATACGGAGGATTTTTTTGTCACCCTGCCCAGCAACTCGTCTGCATTATTTTACCCAAACAACACAATAGCAAACTTTAGAACAAAACTACTCAAGCCTTTACACTTTAAATTAGCATATGAGGTGGGTTTGATAGAAATACAATATCCAAAAACATGGAAATCTTTTTCATCACAAGACTCAGAATTTGTTGTGTTTGATAAAAAAATCCAACAAGAGGGTAGTTCTATCAGCGACACAGGGGTTCTATACAACAATGTTACAAATAATAGCTGAACTAAACAGTTGTTGAAAACGACATGGGTCATTGAGCTTGATTACAACAATATTACCAACAGAGAAACATTTTACCAACGAGAGACGTAGAACTAACGTTTCAAGGAAGACTTGCACAAATGTTGGGATTTATGGGATTTAGATCTTAGCCACGAACTAACAGTGTTGACACAGATGCCATATTTGGTGCCACATCCTGTCGATGTTAATGTGGGGATGTATAATATATTTGTTTATAACGATATTGTTGATCATCAAACAGTAGGGGATAGTTACGTCCCTCTTTTAAGAATAGTACATATATCGGGGCAAAACAACCATATGATCACAAATACTTATGACAGACCACACTACCGGAGGTTCTGCAAAATACACATTGATAGTATCGAGATTTCTCTCAAGACAGATCAGAATCAACATATCCCTTTTATGTAAGGCAAAGTAATAATAAAGCTACACTTTCGACCCGTAAAATATCAGTATTAGACAAGGAGCAAACATGTACCATCCATATGCTCACAATGCGGACAAATACGTTGCATATTATAAAGCTCAAGCGGGTGGTGATTTACCAGGATACAGCGGGCTCGGTGCTCAGTATGGTGCATGGTTAGGGGGTATCTTTAGGGGTCTGTTTAGACTAGCATTCCCCTTACTCAAGAAAGGATTTGCATTTGTTGCCCCTAAAAACATAGCTAAACATGTTATTACTAACGTCATGAACAGACGTCAAGAGGGGTCGGGTCTAGTGGCCGTGGCTCCCCGTCCAATAAAACAACTTCCTGGGAAAAGAGGGAGTTCCCTACCAAAGAGGCGTAGCGGAACCACAAATAAGAAGACCCATACTAAGACAAGAAAAAATAAACAAGCAAAGAGAAGCAAGTCGACAAAACATCAGAAGACGAGAGACATTTTCTAACGAGAATGTCGTTGGTACGTAGCCTGTCACAAGAGTGCGTTAAGTCGGAGCTAGACCTGTTTATGGTACTGTTAACACAAACAAGTATTGAGAAATGCATCTACATTGAATTCCCTCCTGTAGCAGCGAAATCAGACCCCCTTCACCCCTTGAATTTTTCATTCCAGCTAGTACAGAGGACTACCTGGATCTAAAAATACGTTTCTGTACACGCGCGTAAAAATCACCAAAGCTAACGGCGGAAACCTGGATCAGGCAGACAAAGTGGGCTTTATCAACTACCCTGGATGTACAATATTTTCACAGGTCGACATATCGTTGGGGGACCGACTCATAACGCAATCATCAAACACATATCCTTACAGGGGTATAATAGAGTGCCTTTTGAACTAAGGACGCTCTGCAGACACAGTTTGGATCCAGACTATTTTGCATGGATACAGCAGGTCATATGGACAACGCAACGGCTGGAGGACGCAATGAGGTATTAGTTAAAAGAGTGGAGTACACACAAGGCGGCCGCGTAGTGGAGCTAATATACCCTTTACATTCTGAGTTGTTTTTTCAAGACAAGTTAATGATAAATGGAGTAGACCTCAAGATAATATTCATAAGTATATTCATAATATTATATTCAATAATATTCATTCTATTTGCAAATTTTTGTCAATGGGCGTGTCCGTGGCGTCAAAGATCAACTCGTCGCCATGACACAGGAAGTTGTTGTAACTGGACAAGATACACATACCACAGAAGATTCGTGCATGTAGGTGAAACGTGCGGCGGGGGCTGCTTCGTTAAAGGTCACTTCCTGTTGCCAGCAGGTGGCGCTATGACTGTGGGTGAATGTCGGCATGTACATGTGTTCAGGGCGGGACTCTCATCCTACATGTACACTTTGGTCCAGATGTGAGCATGTACACTGAAGTTACAACAACTTCCTGTTCATGGCGAATCATCGACGCCACAGACACGCCCATTGACGAAAACTCGCAAATAGCACAACTTTTCATCGTCAATGCCTTTAGAAGGCACAGCAGAAATTTGACGTCGATCCGACTAAATCCCTAGGAGGAGTTCGTTAAAGTACGAAGTGTGTAAATCATCCAAAAATGGCCGTAAAATTCAAAATGGCCGACTTCCTGTTGACTTTAGGCTATGGGTTCTTGAGGCTTTTTTGTGCGTCTTGACATACATACTTGATACAAGTCCCCAGAAAATTTCGTACATGTAGGTTGAACGTGAACGAGGGGATAATCTTTTCCAATTTTCTAGGTGGCGCTAGCGAGTCATTTTGCCACGCCCATGTGCGAAACCCATAAAATACAAATTTGTTTCATACCCTAAACTCAACAGGAAGACACGAGACCCACTCTGGGAAATTGCAACTTTTCAAACTGAGATAGCCCTTACTAGTGAACTAACGTTTCTGTGTAAATTTGGTACAGTGCCCCTGTAACATATCAACATGTATCTTGGAAGAATGTTTCTGCCAAGGAGGAAATTGGACTTTGTCATCATTTTACAGACAGTAGACCTTCTCGGGCACATTTTTAAAATGGGGAAAATATGATAAAATGATAAAGCTGTAATCTAAATGAATATATTGTATCTCCAAAACAAAATATATAATAAAATGCAGAGGAAACACAAATACTAAAGTTATTTTTTACCTTGTTGAAAAAGCTTGCCCTCCCAATCGGTCCAACCTCATCTGTGTAGTTGAGGAAGCCAATGCTGGCCTCAGTCAAGCCGTAACCCTCTCTGATCTTGATCCCACAAAAGCGTTTGACAAACTCCTTCCAAACATCTGACCTGAGACCACTTCCTGCTGCCAACCAAACACTGTGAGCTCTCTCCTCTGGAACCTGCAGGCAATATAAGAAAATGTTGTGTCAATGGACAGTTTTTAAACATTGGATGGTAAACTACACTTTAATTTAATTCTCAAAAGTGCCACATTTTGGATAAGAACAGTGGTTTTTTATTTGACAATTGTCAAATATGGCAAGTGACAACAAGAAATAGATTATCAAAAATAAGGGTACATTTCCACCTGATACTAACCAATAAGGGAGAGAATATGCTACTCTTGTGATGAGGAATTTTTAATGTGCCATTGATAGAAAGTCAGGATAAGGTAATAACATCAGTACTATCAAGTACTATCATTATGAATGTCAGTTTCAATAACATCATATCACCTTGCTACTCCTGAAACACCAGGAGAAATGCAAACTCTAAAAAGTAATTCAGAGGACCTGCTACCATCATTTGATTAATTGCATGGCTGCAAGATAAAAATGTATTGATTTAGATAAACTTTCTAGGTTGCAAACTTTACACCAACTTAATTTTGCATGTAATTTAAACTCAGATTTCATTGTTACTGGGTTTACAACAAAATTCAAGTTCTAGTAATTTAATAAATGTGGCTCGACAACTTAATTTTTCTCCACCTTGACTTCAGGATTTCAAGTTCCTTCCCCTACCAACTTGTACTCACTTAACATGCTTGGACAAATTCAGAGAGTAAGACTAGAGTGAAAATGGTAGTGGCAGAGTACATCTTTTTTTAAATCGGTCTTGCCAGTACAGGACATTTATTACAAAACAAATGAGCTGCTGTCTGGAGAAGATCCTAGCATTGCTTTAATTCTCAGCAGTTCTAATCATCCTCAATTCATTATCACTAACTCACAAACCTATGTTTTGCTTTACAAGGATACAGTGAGTTTGAGGCCAGCCTGGAAAGGCAAGAGATGAAAACTACCATCATTGTTGACCAGTCCACCCCCGGCCCTTACCATAAAACAGTGGCCATCGTGTTGGAGTGAATGGAAATCCTGGAGGGAAAGGATATACTAAAGGTGCTTTGCTTTACTGATGGGCATAATATATGCTCTCAATCTGAGCTATCACAAAGAACTAAAATATATTTTTGAAGTTTTCAGAAGCTGTTTCTTGACCTTGATGAACTGAAAGCCAGTACAAAAGTAATGAATCTCAAGAGAAAAATTTTCAAAAGATTCCACTAGTGTCAGAGCATTATCCGATTTTATTCAGATTACATTGGTTTGTATTTGTAAGTCAACTTTGTCAATTAGTCAATTTGTTTTTAGAGTGTAGACAGGACCCAATTAGGTACATTTCCTGCTGCAAATTGCCAAACACACGAGCAGCTTTCTTTTTGTTGCAAAAAAGCTGCTCATGTGGTATAGGGGGCAACTGCTACAGGGCTACAGGGGTCCCAGCTTTACTGCGTGTCAGTTGGTTTTGCAATTTGATTAATTGTAATGTGTTTGGGAATTTGCACCGCTAACTACAATATCAACTGAGCAGTGGCCGCTGCAAGTTTCCTATTGTGTTTGTTAGAATTATTAGCATAAAGGAACTTATTGTTTATGTAAAGATTATTAGGACCTGGACCGTCAAAAAGACATTTAGATTACAATCCTAAGATAAAACAGGACAGTAAAAGTTACAGTGCAGTGTAAGATATTATTCAAAAGCCTCAAATTCTATTTAATAAAAGGGAGTGACAAATAGAGAGGTCTTCAGCCTTGATTTCAAACAACTGAGAGTTTGAGCAGGCCTGCAGTTTTCTGGGATTTTTTTCCAGATATATGGAGCATAAAGACGGAATGCTTTTTTAAAAACCTTTATTTAACCAGGAAGTTCCTTGAGATTAAAATATCATTTTCAAGGTAGACCTGGTCGAGATAGCACATCAGACAAAGAACAACAGATGCATAATACAAAGTCCATTTTAGGAATAGCAATTGCAGTCTTCACACAGTTTTGTTATCAGCACTTTGAACTCTCCCAGGGAGACAAGATCATTAGGCTGTGGTGTGTTCTGAAGGTTATTCTATGACCAGGGCACTGTGGTGTCCGAACAATAATGCTGCGATGATGTGTTGAGAAGAAATCCGCTTGACACTGTTCTTGATTATAAAAGTTTATTACATCAAAGAATTCAGCATCAATTACAAGCTCTGCAGCAGCTTGGAGAGTGACCCAGCCCAATAACCACTCTGTCTCTCTGTACATCGAACACAGCTTATATAGGACATGTTTAGGTATCTGCTAAATACCATATAAGGGCACAGTCCCTTCATACACACTAATCTCTACTCCCCCTACCACTGGGTCAGAGGTCAAATTCCATAGGAGGGTTCACTCTTTGCACACCCATCAATCATTACTCCCCCTTAAGAGTTCACTGTGCCTCTCTCCAGCTGCAGAGTATTATTTTAAACTGTAATGGTCAAATGCACATATGTTATACACCACAGCACAAAATAGGAGAAAGGTGCTCGACCAAGTTTTGAACAAATCCTGGGTACCTGATAGAGCAGCATCTAGTGGAGCGGAATCATAATAGCTGTTTGTGAGTGATAGGCGATTACACAGCTATGAAGGGAGTTTACCCAATGTGGCTTTGTAAATAAAAATATACTAATAAGTATGAAGTATTAAGTCTTAATTTCACCTTAGCTAAGGAATTTCCTAAAGGGAGTTGCACAGTATCCCTTCAATGGTTTCCTTAGGTAAGGAAAAGTATTAAGGTGTTTGCTACATTGACAGAGAATTTACAGCAATAAAATTCTACTGTTACCATGGAGACTGTTTGCACCAGCACTTGACCTGTTATCCCTGTAGCCTACAAAGTTGGAAAGAAAAGAAGAAATGGAAGAAAAGACGACAAGAAAACCAAATTGGTCAGAGGAGGAAAAAATTTTTAGTGCTAGAGGTATTTAATAAAACAAAGCACGTAATAAAAAGTAAATTTGATCCGCAAATAATGGCAAACAAAAAACAATGATCCACCTTCATACACATGTGACATTACTGTACAACTTGAGAAAGGTGAGTTGTTTTCTGCTCCAGCCTGCCTAAAAGAAAAGCGTTTTTGGGATTAAATGGACATTATTAGCTGCTGCAGTGCAGGATGAACTCAGAATAGACCCATTTCTCACCTTATTATTCTAAATCATGCAACGAAGAAGAAGAAATGCATAATAAATCCTGGGACAAAATCTGTCCACAAATACTGTACAGCATGTAGTCTGATGAACAAGACTTGTGTTATAGCTGACTTGGGCAGTGAAATGTTTTTTTAATTCATGTGGTCATAGTTGTCCACAACTCAAATCAGAATATAAGAAGAAATGTTTTATACCACCTCAAGAAGGCTTCCTATCAGAAAGGTAGGAAGGTATTTCAAATGTACAACTGCAGTACTTAATTCTAAGTAAAGTAATTTCCCTGACATTTTTGTGTTACTTTACTTTTAATAGACGCATGTAACAGGTTTTATACTTCCTGTGAGTATAATCCAATCAATCTTATTTTCATACTGTATATCCGTTGTGTAATTTGATAAATTGTGTTGTATGTCGTACTCGCATCTCAGAGAAGACTCTGACTGCAACATGCGTCTTTGTAAAGAGAGAAACGGACAGAAAAAGTCTAACTCTGCCTGTCAGCTCGCTCTGCTCCGTTAAAACTGAATTTACCATACAGAATTGAATACGAGTGCACTCCAGATTTAGCTGCAGCCAGCTGACCGTGTGCTTCTCCCTATACCGCAGTTCTGTGTCCATGCATGCAGCAAACTGAAAGCACTGTCTGTCGGAGCGTCTACGTGAAAAGAGAAGGAAGACATTGCTGGTAGTATTGTCTTCAGAGTTGTTAAACACCTCAGTGCACTGAAGGAAGCCATCTGACTGTGTGAGGGGCAAGATCGTTTATGTCTGCAGGCAGAGTAGGCCTAGAGCTCTCCTGTCTGACTGGTCCACCAATAGCAGAGAAGATGACCCCTTGAGTTATCAAGCACGTAAAGTTTGGTTCAGATGTGAGCATGTACACTGAAGTTACAACAACTTCCTGTGCCATGGCGAAGACTTGATCTCTGACGCCACGCCACGGACATACCCATTGACGAAAACTCGCAAATAGCACAACTTTTCATCTTCAATGCCTTTAGAAGGCACAGCACAAATTTGAAGTCGGTCGGACTAAATCCCTAGGTGGAGTTCGTTAAAGTACGAAGTGTGTAAATCATCCAAAATTTGACGTAAAATTCAAAATGGCCGACTTCCTGTTGGGTTTAGGCTATGGCTCCAAGAGACTTTTTTATGCGTCTGGACAAGATACACGTACCACAGAAAATTTGTGCACGTAGGTGAAACGTGCGGCGGGGGCTGCTTCGTTAAAAGTCACTTCCTGTTGCCAGCAGGTGGCGCTATGACTGTGGGTGAATGTCGGCATGTACATGTGTTCAGGGCGGGACTCTCATCCTACATGTACAGTTTGGTCCAGATGTGAGCATATACACTGAAGTAACAACAACTTCCTGTGTCATGGCGAAGAGTTCATCTTTGACGCCACGCCACGGACACGCCCATTGATGAAAACTTGCAAATAGCACAACTTTTCATCTTCAATGCCTTTAGAAGGCACAGCAGAAATGTGAGGTCGGTCGGACTAAATCCCTAGTAGGAGTTCGTTAAAGTACGAAGTGTGTAAATCATCCAAAATTTGACGTAAAATTCAAAATGGCCGACTTCCTGTTGGTTTTACGGCATCGCTCAGAGAGACTTTTTTGTGCGTCTGGACAAGATACACGTACCACAGAAAATTCGTGCACGTAGGTGAAACGTGCGGCGGGGGCTGCTTCGTTAAAAGTCACTTCCTGTTGCCAGCAGGTGGCGCTATGACTGTGGGTGAATGTCGGCATGTACATGTGTTCAGGGCGGGACTCTCATCCTACATGTACAGTTTGGTCCAGATGTGAGCATGTACACTGAAGTTACAACAACTTCCTGTTTCATAGCGAATCATCAACGCCACGAACACGCCCATTGACGAAAACTCGCAAATAGCACAACTTTTCATCGTCAATGCCTTTAGAGGGCACAGCAGAAATTTGACGTCGATCCGACTAAATCCCTAGGAGGAGTTCGTTAAAGTACGAAGTGTGTAAATCATCCAAAAATGGCCGTAAAATTCAAAATGGCCGACTTCCTGTTGACTTTAGGCTATGGGTTCTTGAGGCTTTTTTGTGCGTCTTGACATGATACATGTCCCCAGAAAATTTCGTGCATGTAGGTTGAACGTGAACGAGGGGCTAATTTTTTCCAATTTTCTAGGTGGCGCTAGCGAGTCATTTTGCAACGCCCATGTGCGAAATTTTTCACCGGTTCTGACATGTTTGCAAATTTTGGTGAGTTTTCGAGTATGTTTAGGCCATGTCAGTTGGGCCTACTTTGCAGAAAAAAGAAAAAAAAAAAAAAAATATATATATATATATATATATAATCCGAGCAAATTCAATAGGGACCTCACACGGTCGTGCTCGGGCCCTAATAAATGAAAATATAATCCGAGCAAATTCAATAGGGACCTCACACGGTCGTGCTCGGGCCCTAAAAAAATCTGAGCAAATTCAATAGGGACCTCGCACGGTCTTGCTCGGGCCCTAAATATATATATATATATATATATATATATAAAACTTAGCAAATTCAATAGGGACCTCACACGGTCGTGCTCGGGCCCTAAAAATATATATATAATCTTAGCAAATTCAATAGAGACCTCACACGGTCGTGCTCGGGCCCTAATAATCTTAGCTTGTCTGTTCTCACCAAAAAGGAGATTACCAACTACAGGAGAGAGTCCAATAAAACTGGTAAGAATAATTTTGTTTTGGCTATAAAATAAACTGTCTTTTTGACAGCCTTCTCGCAGACGGGAACTTCACAGCGGTGTTCAGCAGACGGATAAGGGCATTTGATACTCTGTGAATGACGCGGCACACCGTTGACTTGTGTACATGAAACACCTCGCCTATTACAGACTGGAAAGGACCCATAGCATAAAACCGTAGAGCAATCATTAATTGCAAAGGAGCTGGAAGAGCACAGCTGTGGAAAGTAGAGTGATCCAACTCTAGACGGTTGGATAAGTCATGAATTGACTGCCGGTCAAATTTATACTGTAAAAGCAATTGCTCATCATTTAGCGTATCCATTGGATTCTCCCGGCCGCGGGATATGTTCATTTTCTTCATTTAAAATCGCCATAAACTCAGCCATGTTGCAGTTAAGAGAAAGCCAGAGGTACCTTAAACCTTTAAGGAGAAGATGTAAGGGTGTTTAGTTCAACCGAAATGTATTTTAAGGAAACCTTAACTCAGACTTTAAGGAAAATCTTAACTTAAGGCTTTTTGTGCAACCGGCCCCAGGAGACCAGATCGTAAAGTACACTTACTCTATGTGTACGGGTACAGTGTACAGTGAGTTGGAGATAAAATGCAGAGAACTGTGATACACAGAGTTTAAGCAGCAAAGTCTAGAGGGGACAGCATGCATGTAAAAGACAATACATTTGGTTTTCTTAACATTAAGAACCAACTTTCGACCTGGTCTGGTTAGCCTGCTCTTCCTCTCTCCCTCTCTCTCTATCCCATTTGTCCCTCCCTCTCTCTTTCTCCCTTCCCTCTCTCTCTCACTCCAGGCTATGCACTCTCGACCTCACTCTCATGCTCTTCTAAGCTGACATTGTTGCAGAATGTTGCATTCTATTTGTTGCACTGTTGCACGACATTTATACGTGGAATGCACGTAATATTATGCACTTCATGCAGTATTTTTTGAGCATACCTAACAAAATGGTAATTTGGCTCCATCACTTTGTGCATCAGGTGTTGGCACATCCAAATTTGTACCATCCAATATGATCACAATATCACTATTGTCACTGCCTGTAATGAAAACTGCAGCCTACAAGCCTACAGTGTCTTTAAACTTCTAGTCAAATGTTACAATTTAGGATGAAGAAAATGACTTGTGTATTAATTGTTGTCAGTCTTACCTTGGGTTGGTTAACCAAGTATCGACAGAGCTCTCCTATGTACTGCACCACAGTCACATTGTGTTTCACACAGTCCTTCCAAAACTGACTGGCAGAAAACTTCTTTTTTAACACACATGTTGCACCTGTGATCCAAAGGAGAAGATAGAGAGAAGTGGTAAGGCAAACAGTAAGTAGTGTAAGACAATATACTACTAATAACTATTTTCATACGTACTACATGACTAACATACATCCAAATAATTTAAGAAGAAGAAGACATACTTTATTAATCCCACAAGGGGAAATTCAATGTTCTCACTCTGGTGTGTGCTAATTTTTATTAGTATACACACACAGGTCTGAAATACACACACATGCAATGCACTGAGCTACTGCCGCCCCCAGCTACAGCTGGAGCTGTAGTGAGAAATTTCCTCTGTTTTGTTTCAGCCTTTTCTCCTGGCATGTGAGGAAGTGAGAATTCCTTATAGGCCTATAAAAAAGATATCCGTTGCGTTGCCATGATGGTTTCCTCCAGTATTTACCTTGGACCTTACAAAAGTACAGAATAAAAATGGCAAATCTTCCAGCGATTGTTTATGGTTGTCAGAATCATGTGCTGCCACAGTCTCTAAGCTGTTGTGTTTACTCTCACAAGTGAAGAAACAAGTAAAAAAAAAAAAAAGAGCTGTCTCATAGTTAGGCCTGGTACTGCAAATGGCACATTGATTAAGATGAACCCATCATCATGTGATGGGGTATGATTTCCAACTGTTAAACAGCTGTGAGAAACTATGGATATTTTGCAGTTATAATCCTTAAAAGAACTGTGTTAACTACAGAGTTGGAGACATGACATGGTTAGCCTGTCTTAGCATACAGACAAGAAGAAGAGGGGAAACATCTAGTCTGTCCAATGTGTACATAAACAGAAATCTAAAAACAACAGTTTGTGGCTAAATGCTGGAACAATTTGATAGCAAAAAACAGCCAGGTGCAGTGACTTTTAGCTGGGAGTTCTGTGGTTACAGTAAGGTTGTCAGGCAAGCAGCACTAAGTTCTGGCCAAACAGATAAATAAATGTTTGTCAAGAGATCTTCCAAACTGGAAATTATTATGGCTGTCCCCGACTAAGGATTTACATAGTCGAATTAGAATCATCAAGTCCTGCCTAAAGTCGAGTGAGTCAAATCATTTGTGTTTTTGTGCGCAGCGATTGTGGGCCACGTCTCTATTCATTCAACTTACACTGTGAATTTCCAGCTAAACTGAGGTTTTTTGAAGACCATTTTCTCTCTCTCTGTCTCTCTCTCGCCTGTCATTCTGGCCTTGTGCAGAGTTTTGCGTGCATGCTGTGCTGCCGAAAACTACATGCACGTTGCGGTTCCTCGCGGGTCTATTTCAAGTAGCTGGTTGTTTAAAAACGAAATAATATTCTTTGTGCAGTTCATCAACAGTGATAAACTATCCGAAAGTCCCATGAGGTGCAGACAACTCGGCACAACACCAGTGAAGTTGGGCTCTGCCTCTCACACATCAGACATGCTCACAAGTCTTTGAGCTAGAGTCCAAGTCAAGTCTCAAGTCTCTGAGCAAGAGTCCAAGTCAAGTCTCAAGTCTCCCGTGGTTATTACGAATGTTGTATCACCTGCTGCGTTGAATCCAGGTTGCTTATAAAACTGCATAGCTATAAGGAATACTGTAAGTGTAACCTGTTTTTCACTTACAGAGCACAGCCATGTCATGTGTGTCATGGCGAAGAGTTGATCTTTGACGCCACACCACGGACACGTCCATTGACGAAAATTCACAGATAGCACAACTTTTCATCTTCTATGCCTTTAGAAGGCACAGCAGAAATTTGAAGTCGGTCGGACAAAATCCCTAGGAGGAGTTCGTTAAAGTACGGAGTGTGGAAATCATCCAAAATTTGACGTAAAATTCAAAATGGCCGACTTCCTGTCGGGTTTAGGGCATCGCTCCAAGATACTTTTTTGTGCGTCTGGACAAGATATACGTACCACAGAAAATTCGTGTATGTAGGTGAAACGTGCGGCGGGGGCTGCTTTGTTAAAGGTCACTTCCTGTTGCCAGCAGGTGGCGCTATGACTGTGGGTGAATGTCGGTATGTACATGTGTTCAGGGCGGGACTCTCATCCGACATGTACAGTTTGGTGCGGATGTGAGCATATACACTGAAGTTACAACAACTTCCTGTTTCATGGCGAATCATCGACGCCACAGACACGCCCATTGACGAAAACTCGCAAATAGCACAACTTTTCATCGTCAATGCCTTTAGAAGGCACAGCAGAAATTTGGTAGGTAGATACTGCTCAAGGATCCAAGTGCCCTCTTGGCAATTTCTTGAAGACAATGTTCTCGTTTTATTTTCACAGACCCCATCATTGGCCTATGGAAACCCCTCCTAGTCTCTTATCATTGGCTCACGGTAACACCCACCCTCTTATTTTGTATGTGACAGCATGTGGGAGATAACTGGTGAGGGGCTGGGGGCTGTTACTTCTGGTACAACCAGATTATTAGATAGTCTGCAGTTCCAAACTCTTGTCTCCGGCTGATAAAAATAGGTTCCTGTTTCGAAAACGAACTCTGTCTGATAAACCCAGACCGTTTTTAACAACCGGAGTCTGGGGTTATAGATAACTCTATTCCATAACTGGTCTACAAGATTACTTGAAGATGCTAATGACAGTTAAAACACACAACTTGATGTGGCTCATTGAGAAAACAGAGGGAGGGGAGGGATGGAAGGAGGTGCGGGGGGTGGAGCACATTCCTCAATTCACCCCACAGCCTATGCTACACCAGAAAGAGAGAGGACAGAGAAGAAGGAACACAGACTCTAGAAGGATTAAAGTTTTAAGACTCACAAGTTTAAGAGACACTAATTTTAAATTTAAAGTTTGGTGATGTTGACACTGACTTGCATTAAAATGGCTTTAAAAGCGGTTTGCTAGTTAAACATTTCTATTGGGGCATACCTGTAGAGATGTGCCTTCCAGAGCGGTTTTAATATATTGGGGTGGAAAATAAAAACATGTATTAAGAAAATATTTAACATAATAATTTAATAGAAATACGGTAGCTTTGCTTAGCCCACATGCAATGAATCAATCGCCTGACTCTCTCCATCCCTGCAGAATGTACAGGCTAGTATCCCACCATATAGTTGATCATGTGTTATACGCTAATTCCAACATTTCTTTTCTTGATTCCCATGTGGAGAGACAAAACTTTTTAAATGACGTGTACATTTTGACTGGTTTTCCACAAATGTAGCAGTAGGTTATATTACTTACTAAAGAGGATGTCTTTAAAGACTGGATGTACTGATCGTCACCAGTTTCAGCACTATCCTTAACAGACGTGTCTTCAGTATTTCCATTAAGAGCTTTAGCCCAAACTCCTGATACTTGTACTTGCTTCATTTCCCTACAAGTGTTTTCACTCTGTGTTGTGTTGACTGCAGTCTTAGGGTTGGACATTTTAATATTAAGTTCTTCTGAGGGTTGCAAATATTTTGAACGTCCTGCTGTGCTTTCCCATGAACTAGCCTGATTGACTGTAAGAATCAGGTACATATTCCTCCTCTGATAAATTCTATTCACTTGGACTTGGTTTTTTAAAAAAAGCTTTAAAAGGTCTTAGTGAGTACATAACTTTGAGAATAATCCCGCAGTGACACTTACGAGCCTACCTAACTATTAACATGTTTAGGCTTAAATATAGATTTTTGCTGTTGAAAGTAAATAACAAAACTCATTGTATCACGCATAATCTATACTGATAATCATTTAGTTGCTTAATTTGGTTGTTTCTTTTGAAGCATGTGCAATTCATCGGTTGGGTTGATTTTTTCACTTCACTTTAATTGAGGTGCAAATTGATGTTTATGTGTTATTTATCAAGAAAATTAGTACTAAAACTTTGCAAAGAGGTACAAACATAAGATTCTAAAATGGGAGACTGTATAGTTTTTACATGGAAGCCAATTTGACTTTTTATATGGATGTATGTGTTTAAAGTAATTCAGATTGTTTGTGAAGAAAATGGTTGCTGCAAACTTGTTGGATTGCAACCTGCAAGACTTAAGATAGTTGAATAGACTGCTGAAAGTGTTAAATATTTGTCTAGATACCGTTTGGTCCACACTGTCTTTGGTGTGCATTTTGGTGCCATCCATGTTGAGTTCAATGTTCATGTGCACTAGAGTAGCTCTAAGTTCTTCACCAAATTAGAAGTGTAATTTGCTAATGAAAATGTAATTTCATAATCAATACTGTTGTCAGCACAACGGTCAACTTGAGGAGGGCTCCTCAGCAGTACCAGCCTTGGAAAATGTGCCAGATGAAGTGAACCCTTTTCCCCTCTTATGTGGCGTGGTGTGAGATGTAAAGGTGAGTATTTTAATAAATAAATGTTGCATTCATGAATGCTTAACTTTAAACATAATAAGTAATAGTCTTTTATCTTCTGTTAGAATGCTATTTCAGTGAAGGTGGTATTTAAGTGTTTTAATTTAACTTTTTTAAATCTTTGGTTCACCAATATGCAGTCTATTGGAACTTGATACATGCAAAGCAGCAAATATTATATTTACAGAGGGTAAAAACTTCCTTGTGGTGTTGATTAATTGTGATTCTTCATATGCATCACTTTACAAATTTCTACAATAATCCTCAAGGGTGGGTTCACACCTAAAGGTCTTAGAATAAACCATTTTGTGTAAATGTCATCTGATTATTGGTTGTTCAGTGGGTAAAAAACAAACCCCTCCATATTTCTACCTGGATATCGTATCATGGAGTTAGCCCCTGCAAATGGCTAAAAGGATAAAAGGCAATGTTTACATAATACATATGTATTTATGTATGTCCTTGATTGAATTCATGAATTTTGGACCCAACATGCTTGAAAGTTCAATATATCAAAGGTGCTAGGCTTTTCATCAAGAATATTTTAGTTGTTTTATTATTTATTTTTGTATCTTTTAATTTCTTTTGGTGTAAGTTTTATGTTCGATATTTATAATCTAGACTGTTGCAGTGCATTCAATTGTTTTCATTTCTCTTTTAGTGGTTTGATTCAGGAACCGGACCTTTAGGTGTGAACCCACCCTTGAGGATTATTTCAATTTATTCTTCACTTGTTTAATAATAAAGACTGACTTGATTCCAAAGAAACCTCCTACTGATCCTTTGCTGGCCCCGGAGATTCCTCCTTTTACTTATAACTCACTGCTATACTTTTTTAATGATAAATTTATTGTCACAAACACCTCCTAGTTAATTCATTCAAGTTGTATTACTTAATAAAGTCTTTAAATCAATGAAAAACACACAATGGAAGGATGTACGCAACCCTCTTATCAGTTACATACAGACATATTTCCGTTTGGGCGGGACAGGATGCACCCCCTCTTATCAGTTACATACAGACATATTTCCGGTTGGGGCGGGACTGGATGCACCCCCTCTTATCAGTTACATACAGACATCCGGTGGGGGGCGGGACCGGAAATAGCTGTCAAAAATGAGTTTGATGGAATGTCACTTATAATTCTCTCTCAAGTATTCCCATAGCTCTCAGTAGTTACGACTTCATGAGCTTCTTTAATGATAAAATTCTAGCTATTAGAGACAAAATTCACCAAGACCTGCCCTCAACTGGCACCGACTTATCTCTAAACTCAGGAACCTAAGAAACAGCTGTAGAACCAGATATATGTTTAGACTGTTTTGCTTCCCTCAATCTTTACCAACTAACTTCAATAATTTCTTCATCTAAACCATCAACCTGCCTCTTAGACCCCATCCCGACTAGATTGCTTAAAGATGTTTTACCCTTAGTCAGCACTTCTATACTAGATATGATAAATCTATCTCTATCAACAGGCTATGTACCACAGTACTTTAAAGTAGCTGTAATTAAACCTCTTATGAAAACGCCCAAACTTGATCCGAATGTTTTAGCCAACTATAGACCTATATCTAACCTTCCATTTCTCTCTAAGGTCCTGGAGAAAGCAGTTGCTAAACAGCTGTGTGACTTTCTACAGAGCAATAGTTTATTTGAGGATTTTCAGTCAGGATTTAGAGCTCATCATAGCACAGAGACAGCACTTGTGAAAATTACTAACGACCTCCTAATTGCATCAGACAAAGGACTTGTCTCTGTACTGGTTTTATTAGATCTTAGTGCTGCATTTGATACCATTGACCATCAGATCCTATTGCAGAGACTGGAACATTTCATTGGCATTAAAGGAACCGCTCTAAGCTGGTTTAAGTCCTATTTATCAGATCGATTTCAGTTTGTACATGTTAACGATGAGTCCTCCATGCATGCCGAAGTTAGTCATGGAGTTCCTCAAGGATCTGTCCTTGGACCAATCCTCTTCACTTTATATATGCTTCCTTTAGGCAATATTATCAGGAAATATTCCATAAGCTTTCATAGTTATGCAGATGATACTCAGTTATATCTATCGATCAAACCAAATGAAACTCATCAGTTAGCTAAACTTCAAATGTGCCTTCAGGATGTTAAAACCTGGATGACCTGTAATTTTCCAATGTTAAACTCAGATAAAACTAAAAAAGTTATTGTTCTGGGGCCTAAGCACCTCCGTGACGCATTATCTAAAGATATAGTTTCCCTTGATGGCATCGCCCTGGCCTCCAGCACCACTGTGAGGAATCTTGGAGTTATCTTTGATCAGGACATTTTTCACCTACGTAATATTGCGAAAATCAGGAACATCCTGTCTAAAAATGATGCAGAAAAACTAGTCCATGCATTTGTTACTTCTAGGCTGGATTTCTGCAATTCCTTATTATCAGGCTGCTCGAAAAAGTCCATTAAGACTCTTCAGCTGATCCAGAATGCTGCAGCACGTGTTCTGACAGGAACCAGGAAAAGAGATCATATTTCTCCTGTTTTAGCTTCTTTGTGAATTTAGTGAATATCTCCTCACGGTCCGCTAGCTCTCCACTGTTTGTATTCAGGAAATCAAACAAAGTGGCCCGCACAAAGCCACACAACCCTATTCCAGCCATTATGTGTGTGTCAGTAACATTAAATGACTTGCCCACAGACATTCAGCTCACTTTCTAGTTCACCAAGACATGTTATCCAACGAAGGTTAAAGTCAAGGGCAACTGGAATTGGTTGAAGATACTGGAAGACGTTTCGTCCCTCATCCAAGGGACTTCTTCAGTTCTGACTGACTGGTAGGGAAACCAAGACATGTTGTTGTTGTGATGTTAGCTGTAGCAGTAGGAGAGCTGTGAGTACTGTATCACTCTCTGTGCTGGCTCAGGGACCGTCTCGTCCATCTCTGCATGTTAGCTTCATCCTAACTTCGCAGCAGCAACTGTAGCAGTTTGCTAACCCGCAAATTAGCTAACGTTAGTTACATTACTTGCTGTGTCATTCCCTCTACATTATGGTATTTGTCAAGGTATTGGATTTCTCTGGAATTGCTTACTCCACCTAGGGCTGGGCGATATGGATCAAAAAGTCATATCTCAGTACTTTTAGGCTGAATACTGATATAAAAAATATATTGATATTTTCTTTTAAGTGGGCTGGGGGGTGGGGGTCGGTGTTAGCGGGCATGTTTTTACTATTTGTAGTAGCTTGTTTCTTATTTCACCATTTTAATTATACTTCATTCTCCAACTTATTTCAAACATCAAACTATATCGGTATAAACAGTATTGTCTGATTGTATATCTCTTTTGAAATTATATCGGTATACCTCATAATACCAATGTACCGCCCAGCCCAAACTCCACCTATAATTTCATGGCAATTTTCAATAAATATTGATGGTCCCTCTGCTTTGCCTGGCCCAATTGCTGCTCTGTTTTCTGTCTATATGTGGAACACAGTACCCCTGGTGTACACTAGGGGTAAATGAGTGCCCTTGAAAAAAAATTCTACATAGAGTTAATCAGCTGTTCTTACCAAGGTTTATGCATCCTCCAATCCCTAACAAGGAAGCAGACATGTGGTAAAGAGGAAGTGTGATGTAGATGATGTCATCAGATGTGGCTCCACACATTTGAAAGAAGGCCATACTCAAAATGGCTTTCAAATGACCAACGCGGGCTGCCTTGGAGACACCTGGAAGAGAATGGCACCAGTAACTGCAGAAATAGTACCTGTTGTATTTTTTCAGGAAATAGTTAAAGTTCCATCTAGTGGGTGTCCCTATGACCTTTTAACCTGAGCATTTTATTTTAATCACTCTTACCACATTTCATACCAGTCTTGAGATAATGTAGAGGAGACTGGTGATGGTTGTCACATTTTTGACATTTCTGTCTGTACCTCAGAGCTCTTTTAAGCCAGTGCATTCAAAATGTGATACAAACTAGTTAAACAACACAAATCACCCCAGAGTCTGGGTTAGTTCCAACATACCCTGGGTTCAAATGGAACATTAAGTATGTGAATATGTGTATATGAGCTTTTATTCAGCATTTAAATGCTTTTTTAAGATACATTAGTGTGTCTCTATGTGTGTATGTGTGTGTAGGGGTGATCCAAAAATCATATTTACATGTCAGTAAATGTGTTCAATGTTATGTCATAGTGACATAGCATACTACAACATAATACAATTTAACAAAATGTGTAAATAATGGTGTGTTTGTCTTACACTGTCACAGTGGTGACAGACGTGTGTCACTCGTTGAAGGCAGGCCTCATGGGCCCACAAAGCCTACAGGTCTTACTAACATTTGATCATAATAATAAAACAATTAGACATTACACACACATGGTTCAACATTGTTACGAAACACATTCTGCAAGTTTTGCAACAACTGGACAAGCATTTTCTGATCTATAGCTTGATTTGTTTCATTCCACATCCAGTTATTGTGCATTTAAAGAGCCTCCTAGTGGTCGATTTGAATGAGACTTGCAGTGTATGTGTGAGGTGCTTATGTAGACATATCCTGAAAGATTTGTGTTGATTGGAAAAACAATTTGTATTTTGTAGCCTGATTTGCGTTTTATCCCCTGCAGTTTGTTTGCATTTATAGCGCCCCCCAGGTGTTCAATTTGATTGAAACTTTCAGGGCATGTGTCAGTTACTTATGAGGACATATCCTGAGAGATTTGTGATGATTGGAGAATGAATATGTGATTTATAGTGTAATTTATGTGATGCTAAGCACCTTTCTTGTGCTTTTAGCGCCCCCCTTCAGGTATATCTGGGGCACCTATCTGAACATATCCTGTGAGTTTAGTGATGATTGGCCTGACAGTTGCTGATTTGTGTTCATTTATGTCCAATGCCATGCTCCTTTGAAGTTCATTTGTCCATATCCGCGGTTTGAACCCTAACAAGACTACATCATCCATACTATCATACTATGGTGGAACTGAGGGTCAAAACATGGATTGGATTAGTGAAAGGATAGGATAACACTTCTTTTTTGTGATTGGACAGAACCCAAGTCAATTCAGAGTTTATTCAATGGATGCTGACCATTCTAACTCACTTATAAATATTATAGAATATCATATATATTTAAAGTGGATGTGATCACCCTACCAGGAGTAGTACATCTAAGTATAAAAGTTGCCAAAGTCATTTCCTGTTGCCAGTAGGTGGTGCTTTGTCTATGACTGAATATTGGCATGTAGATGGTTTCAGGGCGGGAGTCTTATCAAGAATGGTTTGGTACAGATGTGAGCGTGTACAGTGAAGTAACAACTTCCTGTTTGCCACACATCAAGGACACCCTTCAACAGAAACTCACAGTTAGCAAACCATTTCATCATCAATGTCTTTAGACTGCTCAGCAAAAATAAAAATTTGAAGTTAATGAATGAATTCTCTAGGTTGAGTTCATTAAAGTGCAAAGCATATGAATGGTGAAAAATAAATTGCACTTTCAATAAAAAATGGCTGACTTCCTGCTGGGTTTAGAGTATGGGCCCAAGAGGCTTTTTCGTGTGTTTTGGGATTAGGGCTGCAACTAACGACTGTTTTTATAGTCGCTTAATCTATCAATTATTGAAACGAATAATAGGCACAATGCGTCTTATTTAGCTATCAGCTTTTAAATTAAACTTGAGGTTGTTTTAGGCATGTGCTAATTAACAGTCGCGAAATATAATAAATACTGCTTTCAAAAATACATCTTTTGATGAACATTTCTGCTGCAGCAAAAGAAAGTTCCACTGAAATCAAGTCCTGATCTAAGCAGCTGATCTGCTGTTTAGTGACAGAGCAGTTTACACGCCAGTACTGCAGTACACCAGGACAAACTGACACTACATACAAAGAAAGGAATAACATCATGCATTACGTTTGCGGAATTTACAAAAGGGGATCAATAATAACGATTTTGCAGTAGACAGCGTTTCACAACATTTATATATTTCTCCCTATCTCAACAATTCACAAAACTCAGTGAATTTTTAAGGGAGTTTGGGGCGGATTACCCGCTGCCTCCACATAGATAGGAGAACTGTTTTCTCTTCTTTAGAAAGTATGAAATTGTCCAGTGTTGTCTAATCTTGTGCACTCGGCAGGAACACGTTCTCCAGCTGGGAACGTCACCATGAGCGATGCATCATTTGTGATTGTAAAGTCAGGGCACATCTGGAATGTGAATGTGGCCATTGGGTATCATTATGTGCTACTCTCAGCGCCATTACAAATCAATCAAAATCGACCAAGTGAAACTATATAGAAAACCTTACAGCTTATAACGTGAAGTAACACGCCTTTAACGTGAAGCTAGCTCGCTAACTAGCTTACCGAGACGAGTCTTCGTCATCCACAGAGCAACGTTAGGTGCCTCCTCTTCAGATGCTCAGGTGCTTCCAGGAAACCTCAGCTTTGCTGCAGTTAACAACCTTTTTTACTGAGTGAAGAGTTAAATGTTCCCACACTTTGGAGGTTTTAGGTTGTGAAGGTGTTACTGAAGAACTGATGTTGTGTTGTTTTAGTAACTTTACTGTTCACATCACTTTACTCCATTAAGCTGACGGTATCGTGACGGCCCGATGACATCATCAACGAATGGATTATTAAATTTGTTGGCAATGAAGTTAATTATCGATTTTCGTCGACTACGTTGCTTAGTTGTTGTACTCCTACTTGGGATGATACATTTGCCTCATACATTTCGTAGGTAAAACGTGGCCTTCATGATCAAAAGTTGTGCTAACTGTGAACCTTCACTGAATGCCGTGTCTGTAGCGTGGGGTTGAATTTGATGTACCACCATGAAACAGTGTACATGTTTAGATCTGTACCAAACTTTACATGTTTGCTAAGAGTCCCCGCTTGAAAACATCTACATGCCAATAGATAGTCATTGTTATAGCGCCAAATACTGGCAGGGAATGACATGTTTTATACTGTGATGAACAACTAGCAAGTTGACCTCATCCACCTCAAATTCAGACAGAAGAGCTTCAAGGCCATGATGATGCAATGGTCTGGCTTTTAATAAAATGCTTTACTTAAGAAGCAGTGTGCCTGGATTTTGTTAGAGATTCCTCTCCCTTATAGTAGTGGACACTATTATAACTACATTTGTATCAGGAGCTCCTGCTTTGTGTTTTATTATTGTCAGATCCAAGTAGCACCTTCTCCACTGTTTTTTATCATTCCAAGAATGTCTCTACTAAATAACTACACACTATAAAGCATTAGTTAAGTATTAGTAAATACGGAATTCATCAGTAGCATTCTTTGGGCTTTGCCACTGGTAGATTTGTGTTACGCTGAGATTGTTTATATTCTTTCTCGGGAAAGTATAAAAAAAAAATTAGCTTATTAACCATTAACAACTCATAAATGGTTTGTCATTAAAATAATACTTCATTTACAAATACCGATCATGAACCGATCATCTGTAAAGTATGAAAATACAATTATTAAGCACACTAACTATGCTTATAAATTACTTGTTGAATTAAAAATGTACTAATACTTAACAACTGCTTCATAGTGTGTAGATAACAAAGAATAAAACATTTATAACTGTATGCATGACTTACTAATGTGTATTAATGTATGAACAATGCTTTATAAGTGATGAATTCCATATTTACTAATACTTAACTAATGCTTTATAGTGTGTAGTTATTATAAAGTGCTACCAGTAGTTTATATGTGATTTTGTGCAGTGGAGGTGGCTCGCCAGTTGTAGGTTATGTAATAACATTAGAATACAATGCACATGCAGTACCTGTGGTGCCTGAAGTAAAAATGAAGAGAAAGTTTGACATGAAGTGAACTTTAGGAAGGTCACTTAAGGTTTCTCCAGACATGTGTTCCAATTTATCTAATAAACTGCTAAAATCCTTGGAGGGTGATGTGTAATCCACCACCCACATAGCCATGTTGTCCCTCTTCAGATCAGGCAGCACTTCTTCCACTATACACACGAAATCTGGACAAACAGACACAATGGGTTATCACACTACTGCTTCATCACACAGAGCCAAAGCCGGTAAACAAACATGTACAAAGAGCTATTCATTCCACTCTATGGTAAATTATATAAATACATTAGTAAATTATACTATAGGGTGTTCCTGGTTGTCCTCCCCTACACACAAATGTGATTTTGTATGCATGTTACAATCAATGAAACACACCCCATGATCATTTACAGACCATGACATTGAAAGGATTCTGGTAAAAGAATCACTATAATCATATCTTTGTGATTCAGGACAGCATACAATTCTAATAAGTGGGTGTGTTTTTTAATGGGAAAGAAGTCATGGAATGGTGCATACATGCTACTTGTCAACTCAGTACAGCTGATAGCATTTCACATGTTAGTAAACTTCCATCAGCAGGACCCAACTTAAAGTACTGATCGTAATGTTACAACAGCTGCAATCGCCAGATAACTCACTGAACGGGTTTCACTCATGTTACTAAAGACTCGGCGTTCAATATCCTGACAATAATTGATTAATGTGCAATATTCTGGTTTATTCTGTACTGTACATAATTCTACACACCAATATTTCATTTGTTATATTTCTATTCATATATATTTTTCTATTATATTTCTTTAATGTCTTGTTACAGGAGCAACTAACGAGACAAATTTCCCTTTGAGAATCAATTAAGTATTTCTGATTCTGAAATTAGGAAGTGAAAACTGGTACAGGTTTATTCTGTAATATAAACTGGTCATGGTTAAGCAGAAGCAGATAATAGTAAAAAGTTTAGTCAAAAAATGTAGGGGTTCACATCAGTTCTCACGTTTAACCCTAATTTTATCAGCTATGGTCCAACGGGGTTGGATAGAATGTTGATTTGGTGTTGAGCTGTACAATTGTTTATGGGAACTCTTATGTCAAACTGGGGAAAACAATGTAAACATCAACCTCGCAGTTGTATTGACTCAGAGATATTGGGAATTTATTAGCTACAATATTCCCCACATGGTGAAAAGAACTACAGAAGTCCCAACAACTTGCTGGCAGTTACATCTAAATTGGGCAGCAACAAAATTATTTGTTTTATCTACACTGAACAAAATTATAAACTTAACACTTTTGTTTTTGCCCCGATTCATCATGAGCTGAACTCAAAGATCTAAGACTTTCTCTATGTACACAAAAAGCCTATTTCTCTCAAATATTGTTCACAATCCATCCACCACCTCACAGGTGTGGCGTATCAAGATGCTGAGCAGACAGCATGAGTTTTGTACAAGTGTGCCTTAGGCTGTCCACAATAAACTCAGGATCTGGCCATTGGGAGTGGCTTTTTATTAAAGTGTGTGAGGATTTTAAATGCCCTAGAAAGGCTGCCATACGGACCACCGGTCGCTACCACAGTCTCTGAGGGAAGGCCTCTCTCTGTTCCTTGTCACACAAATTGTGGCTATACACATTAACAAAGGTGATTTTCAAGGTTTTATACAGTCTATGGTTCCAAAGTAAGCCTAAAGTGACCTTAAATAATTTAAATGATATCAACTGGCAGATGATACATTTATTATGTCCAATAGAGAGGAATGGATCAAAGCAATTAGATGTGTTGAGGAATTTTCTACTATCTCAGGCTTAAGAATAATTTTGAACAAATCTGTTTATTAGGCTGCTAGAACTCAGTTACATACCTGGGTGTGATAAGAACTAAAATCTTTGCAATTACCTAAAATTCAGCCCTATGAGTAAACAAATAACGAAAAGGTTCCAACATGTGGTGGATGAGGGATCTTTCACTGAATGGTACAGTTCTACTATCTAATACTGAGGGAATATCCAGATCTATGTATCCTCATCAATGGAAATGCCTACTGAAATATACAAATAATTAGATAAGATCTTATTTAATTTCATTTGGAGGAACAAATGTCATTATTCAAGGAAAGATACTCCATGCAACATAAAAAAATTGAGGTCTGGAAGTTTTGAGAGCTTACATAATACTTCCAAAAGTTAAATGGCTAAGTAAGTTGATAGAAAAGACAAAATTTATAACACCTTCCCTAATTAAGTAGTATTACATTTCTACTAAAATGTCGACTACAAAATCGATAAATTACTTCCCTCAGAGATTGTGGTAGCTACCGGTGGTCCGTGTGGCAGCAACCAGACCACAGAATTTGCTACAACCCCTGCTGATCAGAACGCTATGAGGACTGACATACTTTAGCTCAGTTACTAAGGTCATTTTCCAAACGTAAAAAACGTGCAATACCTGCGCCAACAACAAGGGTCCCGGCCCCACAACTCTGAATGCAGTGAAGCAGAGATTTGGGTTTGATGTTGACGTTAAGAAAAGCGACTTCACATCCCAGTTTACAGAGTCCCAGCCACACACAAATAAAGTCTGGTTCGTTAAACATCAACAGTGCAACAATGTCTCCTTGTTTCAAAGAGCCCTCCGTCCTGAGCGCGTTCGCAAACTGGTTACTTCTCCTGTCCACATCCTGGTATGTCAGAGTCTGGTTTTCGAAGATGATGAAGGGTTTCTTCGGGTTATTCCTCGCCTGGTACAGAAAACAGTCGAGGTATGTGACGATTCCTTGCTGCATGCGAGACTGCAATGCCTTTCCGTACCTCCGAAGTTTCAAGTAATACATCAAATCCACCCAGAAGAAGCGATAAGTCATTCTTTGGCAGAGAAGCAGAGCCAGTAGTCCTGCTAAAACGCTGGTAAACATCAGAGTTAACATCTTTACCTCCGCCAAGACTGCTACAAAACTTTTCACTGCAATCGCACACGCCTTATTGAAACCTGTAGACAACCCCCCCCCCCCCCCCCCCCCCCCCCACACACACACACACACACACACACACACACACACGGGCATTTAGGGGCGGTGACGAGTCCGCCATTTTCTGTAGATCCAAACGCTGATTTCTTTTCTCCTCAGATTTTTTCCAACTTTAACATGATGAACTGTAGGCTACTGCTTTTTACAAACCATCACAAACTATCAGAGCTCCCTGGGACAAATTTCAGAGTCATTCTATGTAAACGCCCATTGACTTCCTTCTACCTATTTACTGAAGATAATTAGTCCTCAGTCTGTTTTCAGTTATCAGAAATGTTCTCATTTATCTCTTGATTTCATATAAGGCAGGGGTCGGTAAATAAGTCAGACATCGGGACATTTTTTTTCAAGCTGTTACATGGTGGGCCAGAACATTATTTCAGTATTATTTCAAACCCTTGGACACTTTCGTGCAAGTTCAGTGCAGTCGGTAAAATGCGGGGCTTCTGTTGGAGGAATTGTAAGATAGATCCCAAAATCTTGCAGACTTTTTTTCCCCTCCCTAGTTAAACAAATTGATTTGCCTATAAGGACACTGTGCGTCCCGGTGTTTGATCTGCATTCATAAACCTATGAACACTAATTTTCATTTCCCTGAGGAAATTCAGGGGAATCCAATCACACGTTTACTGATGGCTTATTCAGAGGTGTGTCAAGTAAGCCAGAGACTCTTTCAAATGTCCTTCAGAACTTTTCAAAGTAAAAGCTCTCAATGAATTCAACATGAAGTATTGCTTCAAAAAACATTCTTGCGCTTTTATTTTGGATTGTATTTATATTTTAGTAACTGTAACCATCATGACTGAGCTCTATTTCAGCACCAGCCCCTATCAACTTATTCATTTTTTATTTTTCTGCCAGAGACATTGTCACAAAAAACAAAAAAAGAGCATGACAATAAGTGATACGTGAAAGGGAGAAGAGAGCTGAAGCTAAAGCAGCCATCAGCTAATCCAGAAATAAACAGTGAAAAATGCATATCATACAATACCACAAAACTACAAAGGACCAAAAATGGCATTAATAAATAATTAAATACATAACTAAATTAAAATTAATTATATTTTTGTTGTGAAAAGGGCTATTTCTGTATTCCTACATTTATTAATTTCTGTATTTCCACATTTCTACATTTATTTATGCTTTTGCATGTATGCTAATTGAGTGGGTGGTGCCAAGATCAGTCTGAAGCAGGAAGGTTATAGTGATGTGATCAGATATACTACTACTGCCTTGACTTCACTGGTACACTGAAGCTTAGCTTTTAACTCCCTCCTGGCAGCGCTTGCAGTGGGCCACTACTCACCGCACATCTATATTTTACTCTTTAGAATACTGGGACATTTTCCTGCACACTGGCACTTCTCACAAGCTGCCAGTCATTTCTCCCCTCTCCATATCAAGTTCTCTGGGCGATTTGTACGGCTCTAAATAAACAGCCTCAACTATTGCAATGCCCTACCAGGTCTTCCAGCTTGTGCGGTGAAACCCCTACAAATGGCCCAGAACGCAGCAGCGTATCTGGTTTTGATCAGCCCAAAAGGACTCATTCGCATCTGTGACACCACGATGGTGGAACAAGCTACCACACGCCATCAGAGCAGGGATGTCCCTCTCTAACTTCAAGAAACTCCTGAAAACTCATCTCTTCCGAGAACACTTCCTCTTATAACTCCTAACCTCTAACATAAACTTTTACTTCTTTCCCCAGGTATTTACCCCATCCATGTGACATGTGCAAGACAAGACATTAGCTCTTACTCGTATTTATTGCTGTTCTTACTAGTATGTATTGTCAGTTGTAGATCTCTTACTGTATTGATGATTTGTTGATGCTTGTATGTTGTTCCTCAAATGTAAGTTGCTTTGGATAAAAGCGTCTGCCAAATGAGTAAATGTAAATGTAAATACATTACCCAGGAGCCCCTATGTGATGCTCACCTGTTCCCGTTCTCGCCTTTCTAATCTCTGTCAGCAGAGATAGAGGAGGTAGAAGATCGGATACCTTGTACACAGTCTGTATGGGGCAGGAGAGTAAAAAAAGTTTGACGCACTACAGCAAACATGGGGCGGCTGTGGCTCAGGAGGTAGAGCGGAAGGTTGGCGGTTCAATCCCTGGCTCCCCCGGTTGCGTGTCGAGGTGTCCTTGGGCAAGATACTGAACCCCGAATTGCCTCTGTTTCGACCAGTGTGTGAATGTGTATGACTGGTGAATGCAGCTGTAGTGTAAAAGCGCTTTGAGTGGTCGAAAGGCGCTATACAAGAGCATTTACATCAGGGGTGTTTCCAAACAATTCAAAATATAGTGTAATATAATGAGGTAAGGCTCTCAGGCATTCTGTATTGCTGTCATATATATCCAACGAGGGTTAAAAACATTTTAACCCTCGTTGGATAACTATGACCTGGATGACTGAGAATCTTCATAGACAGCTGTCATATATGTTTCTCCTGTAGATCAACTTTACTCATTTAATTTCATTAAAAGCCTTCAGGCGTGTCTGAAGTAGAATGTGCATGTGGCATCTTTAGAAATTCCTGGATTTTTACAGCTCCTCAGCTTTTCTGCTCATGTTCAAAACTTTCTGCACATTAATAATCTCTCCCACATATCTGTGTTCTCTGACATGTGCAGAATAATATTTTGAGACAAAAGTCAGAATATTACAAGAATAAAATCACAATCTATTGAGAATTAAGTCATATTTTTTTAACAAAAGCTTCCTGCCCCTCTGCTGTGCATTGCTGTGCATTACCCTGCGTTATTTTTCTGAGCCCATCTGGGATTGTACTCAATGAGACGAGCGCGCTGCTCTTCATCAGAGGTAGAAATTGAAAACACTTGTGATCAGACAGAAATCTCACCACAAAAATGTTCACTTCAGCACCTCTGATAAAGTGCAGCTCACAGTCGCTTCAGAGGGAATTAAGCTTCCTGGAGCAGAGAGACGGTCAAACAGAGCATAGTGTCTCTGAGTGAGAAGGACAGACACAGAGCGACAGATGTTTGTGTCACAGTCAGGTGTGTTGGTTATTATCTTGCCTACTTTGCAGAGGACTGTTAACCGTTTGTGTAGCAAATACACTGACTAGACACTGACTGACAACATTTATATAATTTAATTAAAATTTGCTAGGGACAATTCAGAGCCCTGGAAAAATGACCTGGCAATAGCGATGATCCTTGGCCTGGTTTGGGAGTAAAGCCTAAGATCCAGGTTTGCTCCACCACATCTGCACTATTTCCTAAGCCGTGGACTGTTGTCCCAGATAGACCGGGCTCTAAAGCGTGTTCCCCGGCAAAAAACACATATTGAAATTGAAATTGGGGAACAGGTTTCAGGCCTGCACATCCACCAATGCCTGTTCAGAGTGCATAAGGCTGAGACCTACTGCTATCTGGGTGCTAGGGTTTTGGACTTGGACGCTATGCTGCCGCAACTCATTAGCAAGCACTCAAATGCCAAAACTGTTATTGTACACATTGGAACTCTTTTTCGACATCAACCTTTTCTAATGCGACACTTCAAAATGCACTGATGGTGTTGTACCAGGCAGCTCCTTCTCTCGTACAAGCACTTTTGACTGACAGACTGATTTTCAGGATTCCCTTGGTTTTAAACGCTCCGTATTTTGTATAGCGCCTTTCTAGTCTTTTTGACCATTCAAACAGAAACTAACATTCACACACCGCCAGGTGCAATTCAGTGTTCAGTATCTTGCCCAAGGACATTTTGACATGATGCCTGGACTGGGGATTGAACCGCTGACCTTCCAATTAACAGGCACCCCACTCTACCTCCTGAACCACAGCCACCCCTAAATAAAAATAAAACCAAGTATATGGTGTTTCTGGAAACACAAGTGAGGCTTCTTTTAAACTTAACACACTCAACAGATTTCAGAAAGTGTTTCTTTATACAAATATCATGACATTTGATTAGATATTAAACTTTTTTTTAAGACCCATATCACTGAATTGGTGAGAGAAAAAAAATGAAACAATCCTTCTCACATACACTACTAGTCCTATTGTTATTATTGTTATTATAATCATTAACATTACAATTATTATCATTACCACTACTATTAATATCTGTACCATTTTTCATTTAGTCTATAGCAACATCACCTTTACTGTCTGTACTTCTGTGTGTGTATATTGTGTAGGCTGCTTTGCTGTCATTGTTTGCATTACACAAGGAGACATTAAAGTCATGTCTATCAATTAGGTTTTTATTTTGAAGGTCTTGACCAGAAGTGCCAGTTTGTGGTCTTGCCAAAGTCCCAGACAGCCCAGCCTCTTTCTAAATCTCTCACTGTGCAGGATTACCAGGGAGTCTCCACCACTGAATTACCACTCTTACAATGAAGTCTGATTTGAAACTCCTTTTTTTCATTTTCAGTACTATTGAGGTCACTTTCCCTGTGGATTATTGTCCAACTCATTGTCGGTGTGACTGGAACATCCATAGTGTGTCATGTTTTGGAGTTAGGTTCATGCCTGTTTTCCATTCCAGCACACAGGAGGTGTAAGTAATAAATTTTTTTTCAACTTGTAACTCTTCATTGTATTAAGAAAGAAAGTCCCAAGACTGTTTACTTATGTTTTGTAGGTGGCTTGTGGGGACAACACTGTCTTCTATTTCTCAGAATGCCTTTGCCAACTTGGCCAACATTTCTCACATGTAAGATTCCCCCGCCCCCACCTCACCCCCACCTCATCCCCACTAACTATTCTTTCAAACCAGCGTAAATGGCAGGAATAGGGAATGTCACTAGAAACTAGCAGGGAGAGCACTAAAAACCTCCACCAAAGCTGTAGGATCTATTACGTTTATTGCATATTAATAGAAAATGTTTTCAACATGTTAATCAACATAGTGGAAGTCCTGAGAGAAAAAGTCATTACTGTACAAAGACAAAAAGCCTTCAATAAACTTTCTAATGGTCCTGCTACCTCTTGGAATCCATTTTATGTATGCTGCAGAAAACAAACAAACACTGGGTCATAATAATCTAGCATGACAAAAAACACAAAAAGTTAAATCTTCTGCAGCAAGGTGAGAAGTTAAACCACTGGGGACATTAAACAAATGGACAAAATATAAAAACAAAATAAGTAGTGATATTGTGCTGTAGAACCTCTGAGGTTGTATTGGATATGTTTTAACTGTAAAAAAGAGAGATCAGAGCTAACTTAAAGAAGAAATTAAAGTTAAATTAAAGCTGCAAGCAGCGTTGGGCGGGCCTTCGCACTTGTAGCGTGTCCGGGTGTGAGCCGGCCGAGTAGCATATTCTGGAGCTCTGCCGGTGCGGCTGTGAATTTCCTACGCGGTTCCGACGCCGCATGAAGGTGTTATATGTCACTTCCTGTGTCCCCTATGTGGAGTTACATAGCACTTGCCGCTATGAATATAAATCGGTATTGGCGTGTAGATGTCTGCAGGGTGGGAGAGTTATCAAGCACGTAAAGTTTGTTTCTGATGTGAGCATGTACACTGAACAATAATGTACCCAAACAATAAAATAAATTCCTTTTATATTTCCCTGCCTTGATGTTTATGTGTACATACAGAGGAAGAATGTGAGAACAGCACACATTTCATCGTTACTGTGTGTTAGAGCATGGGAGAACAGTGGATACTTTTAATACAGCCCACACCCCTAATACTGTGTAACTATAACAAGTAGAGAACAGAAGAAAAAGATCTGAAGTCTGCATAGCTTATTCATATTGTGTAATGAATGAAAATAAATGGGCCTACTAGGCTCCTCTCTACTTTGACATTTAAGATTAGCTTGTTTGATCCACCTTCATACACATGAGACATTACTGTACAACTTGAGAAAGGTGAGTTGTTTTCTGCTCCAGCCTGCCTAAAAGAAAAGCGTTTTTGGGATTAAATGGACTTTATTAGCTGCTGCAGTGCAGGATGAACTCAGAACAGACCCATTTCTCACCTTATTATTCTAAATCATGCAACGAAGAAGAAGAAATGCATAATAAATCCTGGGACAAAATCTGTAGGCAAATACTGTACAGCATGTAGTCTGATGAACAAGACTTGTGTTATAGCTGACTTGGGCAGTGAAATGTTTAATTTTTTTAATTCATGTGGTCATAGTGGTCCACAACTCAAATCAGAATATAAGAATAAATGTTTTATACCACCTCAAGAAGGCTTCCTATCAGAAAGGTAGGAAGGTATTTCAAATGTACAACTGCAGTACTTAAATCTAAGTAATTTCCCTGACATTTTTGTGTTACTTTACTTTTAATAGACGCATGTAACAGGTTTTATACTTCCTGTGAGTATAATCCAATCAATCTTATTTTCATACTGTATATCCGTTGTGTAATTTGATAAATTGTGTTGTATGTCGTGCTCGCATCTCAGAGAAGACTCTGACTGCAACATGCGTCTTTGTAAAGAGAGAAACGGACAGAAAAAGTCTCTACCTCTGCCTGTCAGCTTGCTCTGCTCCGTTAAAACTGAATTTACCATACAGAATTGAATACGAGTGCACTCCAGATTTAGCTGCAGCCAGCTGACCGTGTGCTTCTCCCTATACCGCAGTTCTGTGTCCATGCATGCAGCAATCTGAAAGCACTGTCTGTCGGAGCGTCTACATGAAAAGAGAAGGAAGACATTGCTGGTAGTATTGTCTTCAGAGTTGTTAAACACCTCAGTGCACTGAAGGAAGCCATCTGACTGTGTGAGGGGCAAGATCGTTGACGTCTGCAGGCAGAGTAGGCCTAGAGCTCTCCTGTCTGACTGGTCCACCAATAGCAGAGAAGATGACCCCTTGAGTTATCAAGCACGTAAAGTTTGGTTCAGATGTGAGCATGTACACGTAAGTTACAACAACTTCCTGTGCCATGGCGAAGACTTGATCTCTGACGCCACGCCACGGACAAACCCATTGACGAAAACTCGCAAATAGTACAACTTTTCATCTTCAATGCCTTTAGAAGGCACAGCAGAAATTTGAAGTCGGTCGGACTAAATCCCTAGTAGGAGTTCATTAAAGTACGAAGTGTGTAAATCATCCAAAATTTGACGTAAAATTCAAAATGGCCGACTTCCTGTTGATTTTAGGGCATCGCTCCAAGAGGCTTTTTTATGCGTCTGGACAAGATACACGTACCACAGAAAATTCGTGCACGTAGGTGAAACGTGCGGCGGGGGCTGCTTCGTTAAAAGTCACTTCCTGTTGCCAGCAGGTGGCGCTATGACTGTGGGTGAATGTCGGCATGTACATGTGTTCAGGGCAGGACTCTCATCCTACATGTACACTTTGGTCCAGATGTGAGCATGTACACTGAAGTTACGACAACTTCCTGTGTCATGGCGAAGACTTGATCTTTGACGCCACGCCACGGACACGCCCATTGATGAAAACTTGCAAATAGCACAACTTTTCACCTTCAATGCCTTTAGAAGGCACAGCACAAATTTGAAGTGGGTCGGACTAAATCCCTAGTAGGAGTTCGTTAAAGTACGAAGTGTGTAAATCATCCAAAATTTGACCTAAAATTCAAAATGGCCGACTTCCTGTTGGGTTTAGGCTATGGCTCCAAGAGACTTTTTTGTGCGTCTGGACAAGATACACGTACCACAGAAAATTTGTGCACGTAGGTGAAACGTGCGGCGGGGGCTGCTTCGTTAAAGGTCACTTTCTGTTGCCAGCAGGTGGCGCTATGACTGTGGGTGAATGTCGGCATGTACATGTGTTCAGGGCAGGACTCTCATCCTACATGTACACTTTGGTCCAGATGTGAGCATGTACACTGAAGTTACGACAACTTCCTGTGTCATGGCGAAGACTTGATCTTTGACGCCACGCCACGGACACGCCCATTGATGAAAACTTGCAAATAGCACAACTTTTCATCTTCAATGCCTTTAGAAGGCACAGCACAAATTTGAAGTCGGTCGGACTAAATCCCTAGTAGGAGTTCGTTAAAGTACAAAGTGTGTAAATCATCCAAAATTTGACCTAAAATTCAAAATGGCCGACTTCCTGTTGGGTTTAGGCTATGGCTCCAAGAGACTTTTTTGTGCGTCTGGACAAGATACACGTACCACAGAAAATTTGTGCACGTAGGTGAAACGTGCGGCGGGGGCTGCTTCGTTAAAGGTCACTTTCTGTTGCCAGCAGGTGGCGCTATGACTGTGGGTGAATGTCGGCATGTACATGTGTTCAGGGCGGGACTCTCATCCTACATGTACAGTTTGGTCCAGATGTGAGCATGTACACTGAAGTTACAACAACTTCCTGTTTCATAGCGAATCATCGACGCCACGGACACGCCCATTGTCGAAAACGTGCAAATAGCACAACTTTTCATCGTCAATGCCTTTAGAAGGCAAAGCAGAAATTTGACGTCGATCCGACTAAATCCCTAGGAGGAGTTCGTTAAAGTACGAAGTGTGTAAATCATCCAAAATTTGACGTAAAATTCAAAATGGCCGACTTCCTGTTGGTTTTAGGGCATCGCTCCAAGAGGCTTTTTTGTGCGTCTGGACAAAATACACGTACCACAGAAAATTCGTGCACGTAGGTGAAACGTGCGGCGGGGGCTGCTTCGTTAAAAGTCACTTCCTGTTTCCAGCAGGTGGCGCTATGACTGTGGGTGAATGTCAGCATGTACATGTGTTCAGGGCGGGACTCTCATCCTACATGTACAGTTTGGTGCAGATGTGAGCATGTACACTGAAGATACGACAACTTCCGTGTCATGGCGAAGAGTTGATCTTTGACGCCACGCCACGGACACGCCCATTGACAAAAACTTGCAAATAGCACAACTTTTCACCTTCAATGCCTTTAGAAGGCACAGCAGAAATTTGAGGTCGGTCGGACTAAATCCCTAGGAGGAGTTCGTTAAAGTACGAAGTGTGTAAATCATCCAAAATTTGACCTAAAATTCAAAATGGCCGACTTCCTGTTGGGTTTAGGCTATGGCTCCAAGAGACGTTTTTGTGCGTCTGGACAAGATACACGTACCACAGAAAATTCGTGCACGTAGGTGACACGTGCGGTGGGGGCTGCTTCGTTAAAGGTCACTTCCTGTTGCCAGCAGGTGGCGCTATGACTGTGGGTGAATGTCGGCATGTACATGTGTTCAGGGCGGGACTCTCATCCTCCATGTACAGTTTGGTCCAGATGTGAGCATGTACACTGAAGTTACAACAACTTCCTGTTTCATAGCGAATCATCGACGCCACGGACACGCCCATTGACGAAAACTCGCAAATAGCACAACTTTTACTCGTCAATGCCTTTAGAAGGCACAGCAGAAATTTGACGTCGATCCGACTAAATCTAGGAGGAGTTCGTTAAAGTACGAAGTGTGTAAATCATCCAAAAATGGCCGTAAAATTCAAAATGGCCGACTTCCTGTTGACTTTAGGCTATGGGTTCTTGAGACTTTTTTGTGCGTCTTGATATGATACATTTCCCCAGAAAATTTCGTACATGTAGGTTGAACGTGAATGAGGGGCTAATCTTTTACAATTTTCTAGGTGGCGCTAGCGAGTCATTTTGCCACGCCCATGTGCGAAACTTGTAGAATACGAAATTTTTCACCGGTTCTGACATGTTTGCAAATTTTGGTGAGTTTTCGAGTATGTTTAGGCCATGTCAGTTGAGCCTACTTTGCAGAAAAAAAATAAATTAA